AAAAAGTACTCTCTCTACGCGTACTAAATCCTCCATTATATCCTTGACACAGTCTGCGTTTCTGTTTTTTTGTTTCAAGTGCTGGCTGCTTTTAGGCGCCTTTTTGCCTTGTTTGCTGCCATTTGCAAGGCCATCGCGAAATAGAAACATAAGCTGGGAGGAACTCGGTTGAAGGTTGCGTGCCAACTCATCTCGAGAGCCCCGAGAACCTCCCACATTCCGGCCCACATGTTCGACACTTTTATTAATGCGCTTGTAACGCCCGTAAAGCTGTCAGAATTCCATTCACAGAATGTTATCGTGTTCGGTGTAGAAAGGAAGGAAAATGCGAGTAGGACTGTGTAGCATTGTTCGCTGTTTCCCGGGCTGATAAGTCGGAATACTTTGTCGCTTGTTGCTTTGCTGACAGTGTTAACAAATGAAAAGGATTGCAGGATTCAAAGGATTCTACGCTCAACAAGCGGAATAGAATATTGAATACTTAACAAGGGAGAAGAGCTATATGTCAAAGGCGTATTCACTTAATATAGCTCTGATCCTAGAAAAGAAACGAAGCTAAAATCATTTAAGTTCCCCTTTTGAGCTAGCAGAAATGCCATCGATTTTTACATTTTTCAAATGAATCCATTGAATCCGATAATTTCTAAAGCAACCTTTTTAATTAGCATTCTCGCTCAACAGTCATTAACACTTTTTCTTCCTTTCTCCCAGTCTTTTCTCCCTCTCATCATCATTAGTCACTTTCGCATGTACCCACGTACATATAGAAATGCCTTCGTGAATTAGGGTCAGTAATTTTTGTCAAGGACCTGAATTCCACGCCTAATTATCTACATAGAAGCCCACAGCACTTGAGCGCATTTAAGCGCCAACTGTCAATTAAAAGCGGCAATTACGCCAATGTGTTGCCACCTCTAAAAGCAAACCCCCTCCTAGGAGTTTTCCGGGCCGCCAGAGGCCTTCTCATTTAAATTGAACACGTGCTTTTGGTCAGGGAATAAATTAGCGCGACTAAATTAAAAATTACACGAACACTAGCCCCCTCGAATTTAAATAGACCGACACTAAAGCGCAGAGAGGACCGCTTGTTTATGGCTTTTCACTTTGTTTTTCCGTCGGCTGGTTGGTTGGTTGTTGGCTCGACTACTCGACTCCCATGCAAATTACATTTTGTGCACGAAATTAGGAAACTCCGGCGAAATAAAATGGACGAAAAATGGTAGAAGCCATGGAGCCAGTTCGGTGCAGACATGCATGGAATTTCATTTTTGCACTCTCGCCCGGAGGGAGGCATTTATTTTTTGGCAATATATATGTATGTACTTACGGTCTATGTGGAACCCAAAAACTAAAGCCCGAGCACTGACATCGATACAAAGGAAAACAGCGGCAGGACGAAGCGCTGAAATGGATGGATGCCATTTAGGCGATGGCACGAGGTTTTCCCAATGAACTATAATGTTTATATTTTAAACATTGGGAGGTTCATAGAGGCTTTTGCAAGTAGATTATACAAATATTTGTATAAATGCAATACCTTTAAAATCGAGCTTTAATAAGCTCACTGCATTTGTCATGTACTTTGAACTGATTCTTATAAACTGCACTTGACAAATATTACGTACTTACTGATGGTTTAGCCAATAAAAAAAACTTCTCAAAAGTCGCCTGCAACTGGCCAAATTTTCTTAATTTTTCTACTCTTTCAAAGGGTACTCTTTATTTTTCAGTTTTTATAGTGACCCTGTAAAAAAGTTGAAACCTAAAAAAAGGGAGAAAAAAGATTTCGGCTCAAAATAAATATAAACAACCCTTACCAAATATTCCCTTTAAATATTTATTGAATGAAACGATTCGAAGAAGCTTAGCTTCATGTATAAAACTGCACTTTTTCATCTCACATAATGGCTATAAATCCGCTTTCCGCTTGCTCCCTTCGAATTCCCTGCTTATGACGTCTGTTCCGGAATTGGTGAGCATTTTGTGTGTGTGCCAGTTCTCTTCCCCATTTTTTTCGACCGCCCGCAAAAAATTTATGCGCACTTTTTTGCAGAATCTTTAGTGGAGGAAAAAAAACGGAAGAAAAATGCTTCCACGGCAACGAATCCTGTGGCTCTGCGTCATTTGTTTCGCGTTTGCCACTGCACCAGGCGTTCAATTGAAAACGGGAATTTAAGCTTTACGGTTCCCATTGAATTCGAATACTTAATTTCTCTAAATTATTTGTAAACTGTTTGTTGCAGGCACAACGAAAGCCATGGGTCAATAAAAGCAATAAATAATTATGGCATTTTTACAGAGAGAATAATACGATATTTATACCCGTTACTCGTAGAGTAAAAGGGTATATTGTATTCGTGCAAAAGTATGTAACAGGTAGAAGGAAGCGTTTCCGACCCCATAAAGTATATATATTCTTGATCAGGATCACTAGCCGAGTCGATCTAGCCATGTCCGTCTGTCCGTCTGTCCGTCTGTCTGTCTGTCTGTCTGTCTGTCTGTCTGTCTGTCTGTCCGTCTGTCCGTATGAACGCTGAGATCTCGGAAACTATAAAAGCTAGAAGATTGACATTTTGCATGCAGATTCTAGGAGTTCCTACGCAGCGCAAGTTTGTTTCAAAAGGGTGCCACGCCCCCTCTAACGCCCACAATCGCATATATACGATTTTAAAAATTTCAATATTTTGGAAAAGTAAAAATGCAGTTTTATTGTGTTTATCAATACCTATCGAAATGTAGAAGAAATTTTTTAAATCGGACCATTCGTTAAAAAGTTACGGCGGATCAAAGTTTTTCTCCATCTCTTTCGCACTCCCTTTAGCTGAGTAACGGGTATCTGATAGTCGGGGCACCCGACTATAGCGTTCTCTCTTGTTTAATAATGGGAACAAACAAACATTTTAAATGAAAAGGTGCACAAAGGATAAACCAGAATTGTTGTCAAACAATTGATTTCAATTAATTTAAGTTTGTGTTAAATTAAATTGCATTTAAGGTGGTGTGGTTATTTCTCTATTGATTTCACCCATTTGCCGTTCAGAAGGCATCGTGGGTCATTCGACCAACTGTATGGAGATACGGCAATCGTTATTGATTTTTCCTTCCAATGAAATACCTTTTCCCCCATCGGCTTATGCATATTGAGTGCGCGACAATTTATGAGCTTTATGTGTCACTTCTGATGCCACTTTCACTGGCATTTTCCGCCCACACTTAGCCCCCGCAAATGCCGCCCATTCACCGAGACAGTCACGCATTCTTTGAGGGTATGACGACCTAACAATACAGCCAACCCAACCAACCCAACCCTCGGAAATGGAAGTGGACGTCTCAGTTACGGGGAGAATGTTGTTTTTTCGTCCCCTTCAGTCCGGGGCATATCTAAACTGTAATTGCTTGCCAGGGTGTAGTTGGGTTTTACGACCCAGACAGCTGTTTTCTGGCCCTTCGCCACTGTTTTATTTTATTCTGCCCCAAATCATAGCATACAATTCGGGATTTCACCACTTTAGTCGCCTTAGAAACCGCTGTGAAACGCAACACCAATTAGTTAATTTATTGGTGCCACCATTCCCCTTTGTTGTGCAATCAAATCCATCTAAATTGCTAGCTGGTTTAAATTGATATTATTTAGTTTGATGCCAGCAGCAGAAGCGACGCGAAATAACTCGGAATTCGGCCGCTTTGTGTTATTCTATCTCTGTAAAATGTTTTTGCATCCCATTTTGCAGTGTGGCAGGATTTTAGATTTAAATGGGCACATTGTGCAGGCTGTTTGACCATAACAAAGCGATAAAAAACCACAATTTATGAACTCAAATTTATCTTTATTATTTCAATAAATATATTTAAAATATTTAACAAATATTTTATGATTTATGTACCATTGTTTAAGTCTATTTAGTGTTAAATTAAGAAAGAATAAATATTTCATTTTATATTTTTGCTCAAAATATCATCCCTTCATTGCTCTTAAAGTTATAGCACTCTAAGTACTCACTTACGTATGCTATTAGTGCTCTTAGCAGAAACTCTTTCACCAGCAAGCTGCTTGCCCCATAAATAAACAACATTATTTATTGGATCACGGACACGCCCAATTAGTTTTGATATATGTTTGCGAGGCAAGGAGAAATAATACTGCCCCTGGCCATAGTAGCTTGGCTTAGACATGCAATTTTCCGTCTGAGTCCTGACTTTGAGGAATTCTCCTTGGCCCCGCAAGCCGGAATATCTTTTGTCATTTTAATTGAAAATTGTAGCCGTTCCTCGAGACTTGTCGCCCCTCAAGAACACCTCTTTCGTTAGCCACTTGCCAATTGTATTTGCGGATTGTCTGTCAGCCATTTCAGCTTTGGTCTTTTGTTCGCCTTTGTCTCTGTCGGATTTCTTGACTTTTCATCGTTTGAATGCCGTTTGTTTGCCCGCTGATTTGGCCATTGTTTGACAATTTTACTCTTGAGTGGAATTTTGATGGGTACATTATATACGAATATTTTATAGTACATACTTATTTATATATAAGCCATTTAAGGCGTTGACTAGCATAAATTATCCGCGGAATTGATGGCGAAACGTAAATTTATCGAGAAGCCCATGCGGCGTATACGTAACTTGTTTTCCCTTAAAAGCTTCTTTTTAAGCTGCTGCTTTCCGTTTTAACGAGTTGCTGGCCAATTAGCGCCTTTATCATAATGCTTATTCATTGTTATTTATGAAGGAAGAAAGCCATTTCCCATGACTCCTTGGTATAAACTTTAAACAATAACCCAATTGTTTGGATTTTTTCAAACTTAAAAGCTCTGATAATTATGTTTTCAGATATTTAAATACTAAAGCCACATAAAATAATATTTTTATATTTATTTACGCTAAAATATTAAAATAAATATTTAAATATTAAAATAAATATTTAAAGTATTAAAAAACAAATTTGAAATAATAAAAAACAATTTCCTTACATTTTAATTAATTTTTCCTTATTGTCTTCCTACTTTTAGTATTCGCAATAGTCGCGGCTCCTTGGACAGCATCGGAACCGCCGCGAACGGCAGCTCAGCAGCCAGTCAGGCCAGCTCCAGCGGCGGCTCCACCACCACCCACGGCCACGCCCACAACAACAATAACAACAACAACGGAGGCGGCGGTAAAATGGATGGCAGTCCCCATCATCGGCCAGGATCTCGAAATGGACGCGATAATTGGGGAAAAATGCCGGAACCGCTCAACGGAGCTCCAAAGATGGACAAGTCGGAGAAGTCCTCCCCCTCCCGTCGCAGCATGGGCGGTGGAAGTGGTGGCTCCTCCAAGCAGGGCTCCCCCTCCTCCTCGTCGCGAACCAAGGGCGTTCCGCCCAGTTTTGGCTATGTAAAGCGGGCCAATGGGAGTATCACGGCCACCGCGGAGCAGCAGAACATTGCCATGATGATGGCCGCCGGAGGAGTGGCATCCAATGGACTGCCCTGCGGTCGTACCGCCCACGTTTCGGCGGTTCCAAGGACCGCGAGTGGTCGTAAAATAGCAGGCGGTACTCAGACCTTGCCCAATGACATGAACAGTGAGTAGCAGTGAATCCTTTAATAAAGAGGGGTTATTAATCATATATTTGGGTTTTTCAGAGCTGCCCGCGAATACTCAGCATCGGAGTTTTTCTTTGACCGGACCAACGGCCACCCAATTGAGCCAGTCGATCAGAGAGCGTCTGGCCACCGGATCACATAGTTTGCCCAAGCCTGGCAGCGATTTGCATGTATTTCAGCACAGGTAAGCTTTAATATTTAAAAATTTATTTAATTAAAATTTAAATTATTTAACTCTTTAACAGAATCTCCAATCGCGGCGGAGCTCGTCACGATGGATCCCTCTCAGATACCCAAACCTATGCGGAGGTCAAGCCCGAATATAGCTCATACGCCATGTGGCTGAAGCACAGCAATACGGCCGGCAGTCGCCTGTCCGACGGTGAGTCCGTCGAGCAACTGCAGATCGGTTCACCGGCGATGACCCGGCATGGCCACAAGATGATACACAACCGTTCCGGAGGACCGGGTCAGATGGCGGGTCAAATGGCGGGCAATGAGTCGCCCTACGTCCAAAGTCCGCGCATGAACCGCAGCAACAGCATTAGGTTGGTATCTATTCATCAACTAAGTGCCTATCCTTTCCCCTTCTGCATGAATGTATGTATCTTTATCTCCATTTTTCTCTCTTCCCTCTGTAAATTCGGTTACCCTTGAAAAGCTACTTGAAAGAACGGACATATCCAAGGTGACCACAGAGTTTCAGCACAGCCATTTTGCATCTCATCTAAAAAACCTGGCTAAACTTGCCACAAACAATCTGCCATAGTTTTTCATTTCACATGTTGCATGCTTATCATCCTTGAATGTTGGCATTATAGTTTGTGTCTGCTTTTACATATTTTCTTACAAAATGGCACAATTTTTCTGTTTTAAGTACTTGTGACACTGTCACCCATGACATTTGTCACCCATGACACATAAAAATATTTAAAAATGTAATGGAATATTAATCTTCAATCCTTTCAATGTGTAAAAGGGAATTTAGTTTCCCTCTCTGCTCTTTTACATAAAACGAAAACGATTATCATACACGTACACCATGTTTTCACTGTCAGCTGTATTTTACTCTCTACCTCCCCTTTAAGTATGCAAACAACTTTTGGTATTTCTGCTTTTCACTCGGAAAAAGCCAAGCGAACTCTCCTTTGGCTTGTGGACTCCATGTTGCCGGGACATACGCTTGTTTTTCAACGTGTCGCTGTGCATATTTTAAAGATTCACTTAAAACCGAAAAAAGTTCAGGATGGCGACACGCCCAGTTATTTAAAGGGCAAAGTTCTCCGATGCTCGGGTGTCGCCCATGGACAATGCGAAAGCTCTTTGGGAAAACGAGTTGGGAAAACCGTGCACAGAAAATATAAAAAAGCCAAAAGGCAAATGGCAAATGGAAAACGTAAAAAAACAAAGAGTAACCTGTTGGCTGGGAGGTGTTGTGGATGGCCAGATTATTATTTGACATGTCAATAGGTTTGCAAAACCCCTGACTTTGCAAGGGAGCAGATGGAGCAAAGTTCCCTTTTTGTTTGCTTCGTCAGCGGTTTTTGCAACTGAAGTCTGTTGTCGACGGTCGAGTGGTTCATTAAAAAGTGTTTCACAGAGCAGCAGAGAAAATTGGTTCGAAAAGTTGGGAAAATAAGTTAAATTAAAAATGTTTTCAAAATGCCAATACTAGGGTTAAAAGTAAAAACATATAATAATAATTGCTCAAGTTGATAATGGGTTAAGCAAGTAAGCTCCGTTCTCCGTTTTCCTCCTCTGATTTCCTAAATCTGCTTTCTCTGATTATATATGTGTGCCTGGCTTTTCCTTTCAATGCTTCGACATCAATTATGCAATAGGAAGTGAGCAGAGGATTGTGTGAGGGGAAGTGGAAACTCTTGCAACCAGTTCGGTGGCTTGTTATCAAATTTTACAGTGCCATACACTCACCCAAAGTTTGTGGCAAATAGCCTCGGGGAAAACCGACAGCTCTCACCACCGAAAGCAAACAACAGAACCCACTTACACTCACACCCTCACCAACAGGGGCACACATGACGTATACGTAATATTAGATTTGCATGGAAAATGCCATTAATGTCACAGTTATCAGAGCGGCGCAAGTGGACAGGACAGGAAGGGATGGACTGTATCCTGAATCCTACATCCCATTTCTGTTTGTGGAGCGGTGGTCATTGTGCGAGCTTCTAGAAATCTGTGCATTTTATGACAATTTGTCTAGGGACTTAAACGCAACGATGGCTTCACCCAGAACCCTTATCATTCAGATACACAGAGTGCCCGCACCACTGGCCACATCCAATTTGTAACAGAATTAAACGGAAATGTGGGCGTTTTTGAGGTGCCCAGAAGTGTTCAGTTTTCATAATGGAATTGCCCTCATTGGGCTGACAAACGCAACGGAAATTTGCAACTGTCTGACCACAAAAGTGATGAAAAATTGAGATATGTGAATAAAGATGTAATTGAAATAGGGAGGAATACTGCCAGGCTGATATTTTATTAACTGATTTTTCCTATTATTTAAAAACATTATTTTTAATCTACCTTCATTTCAATGACTCAGAATCGAAAACACACTTGCTTTAGCATCATTCACGCACTCATTGCATGTCAAATTAGAGGCGCCACACGAGACTAATGAGATTCCATTTCAGATCCACGAAATCCGAGAAGATGTATCCCTCCATGCTGAGCCGCGGAGGCGAGGTGGAAATCGAGCCCTACTACTGCCTGCCAGTTGGCACCAACGGCGTTCTCACGGCCCAAATGGCAGCTGCGATGGCGGCTCAATCGCAGGCGGCCCAGGGAAATCCCGGAGTGGGCGTGAATGTGGGTGGCGTTGCCTGGAGCCAGCCAACCTCGCCAACGCCCCTCAACCGCGGCCCCTTCACCGCAGCCGCAGCTGCCTCGGTTCTATCGCCCACCCATGGATCCACATCGGCCGCAGGACTCGCAGGAGGAGCAGGTGGTGGGATGGTCGGACATCGGCTCACATATCCCAAGAAGAATGACGAAGGTGAGAATTGGAAAAGCACTCGAAAAGATTTTGAAGATTAAATTGTTAAATTTGTTGGATTTCTACAGTATCGAATTTATATTAGAAAACTGCTGGAATATATTTTCATTTTAATTTTATTTATTAAGCATTACAACCAATAATTTACTTGCATTTTTTTAATATAACAGAAATACCTATTATTTACTCTATATACTGAAAAACATTATTTTTTTATTTCTTTAAAAAGGAAATGAACTTTATCTACATATCTCATAGGCTTCCTTTAAGTGCAGGCTTAAAAGCGGATTAATGCAACTTTGCCGTTCTGTTTCCGTTTCCGTTTCAGTTCACGGCAGTGCCGCCTCCTTGCTGTCCGGAGGCAGTTCCTTGTACGGAAATGCGGAGGAGCGGCAGGCACACGAAATCAGGAGACTGAAGCGCGAACTGCAGGATGCCCGGGATCAGGTGCTCAGCCTGAGCAGCCAGCTGTCAACCAATGTGAGTACTTTTAACCATGGCCATAGCCAAAGCCATGGAAATGGAAATGCTTAGTTTAAGTTCAGATGAATTGTGAGTGCATTCGAATCCTTCTGCCCGACTGCACTTACTGCCAGCAAGTTTACCGCTGTCACGCTTTTGGGTGAAAGAGACTCAATGACAGGCCAAGGAACTTTTAGTGTCACTTCTTATCCCTTGAAAACTTCTTGACTTAAAATTATTCTATCATTTGTCCATTTTCTTTCAAACATTTCACAGATTTTTGAATAATTAATTAGGAGTTTATTATCACAGGGCTGGGTTAAGAACGGAAAATATAAACTATTTTGTTAAAATTTATAAAAATCTGTTTGAATTTAAATTTTTTTTGTTTACATTAGTGCATGAAAATATATACATTTACACAAAAATTTAAGGATAAATGTTTTCAATAAATTCCAAGCCAATTTATTGTGGTTAAAATTTACTTTTCAACAGCCCAATTAAAACGAAGAAAAAGTTTTACAATGGAATCCAAAAAGCATGCTAGGGAATTTGTTTAAATGCAATTGCCACTTGGCAACGGAAACCGAAAACCACCAGGCAATTTAATTTCACCTGAATAATTTATGGAAAAAAAGGGAAATACTTGCAGGCCTAATCTGGCACACCGCATCTTTTATAGTTCAACCTCGTCGTCTGCATTGTGCCCGGCCATTAATTTAAGTGGTTATGCCGTGTACTTTGGGGCACAATTTATTTGGTTTCCGCAGCTGTTGCAGCATTTTGCGCATTTTCATGGCCTACGTTCAGGGGCGATGCTATGCTGAAAAAGTGCTGAAAGAACGAATGTGGCAACTGGGCTGCTCCACTTCTACCTCAACCTCAACCTTTAGCGAAACGCCTTCCTCCCAGAATGGTGTGCCAAAAGCTTTGCCGCTTTGAAAGATTCATTCGCTTCGCTTATCAGGCAGTCAGCTTGCATTCAACTTTTCAACTTTTTCCGCCAAGTTGCCTTCCGTCATATTCCGTTTGAGATGCTCAATGCACTGAAAAAAATAAATGAAATGTCATTCATTTGAAACTTTAATTATTTAAAATATCATACATAATAATAAATTATTAAAATTATTATTTTTTTAGTAATTAATCTAATTTATTCTAAATCATCGACTTTACCAGAATATGTCATTAATAATAATTTTACTAATAATATTTGAATAGTTAAAAGTTGAGCAAATATAATTACAAAATCCGTTCTTGCATTATGTTTTGTTGTTGCACATAAATAAATTTATAGTCTAACAACATAGGTTTTTTTTCAAGTGTACAGACTAAAAGACTTAGACGGTGACTGTCTATAAAATGGTATGTGTGCGTGTTGTCAACAGAAGTCACGCAAAAGTCTGATAAACTTCCGCGGCAGACAAAGGCACTTGAGGAGCTGGAGACCAACTTTTGCCCACTTTCGGGTGACTTTTTTTTTAATATACCTCCATATGGGTCTGAAATTGATTTCATTTACAAATTTTCTTGCCAACAATTTTCATTACAAAATGAAAACAAAGTTTAAATTGCATTCCGCCAGGGATGGAGAGCTTGGAGCTTGCGGGAGTCGTTGTACATTTTATGCTTGTCTACATTGTCGAAGCGCTATAAAGTATTTTATGGCCATTCCCCTAAGCATCCCCCACCCGCACCTTTGGCCATCAAATTTATCGGGGCCAGACAGGCAGACAGCATAAATCTTTTATTTTTTCCACACTTTCCACTAAACTAAGTGGGTGTGGGAAAGTCTGGGGCCAAGGTCAAGAAGTACGTGTAAATTGCCGGAAATCGGCCTGATGGATTCGATGGCGATTTGATGGACACAAACTTAAAGTTGATGGCGACTTTTACCAATCTCCCCCGACACTTTGCCACTTTGCCAGCGGAGCGAAGAACTTTCGGTGCCCAGCTGCCATAAAAGTGCAAACAATGTGGAGGCACAGAATAATTGCAATGGAGTTATGCCGACCAGAATCGGAATCTCTCCCAGCTGATATGGTCTGATATGCGGTCTGCAGCCGAGTCTGGTTGGTTAAGTGGATTAGGTGCTTGGGTGGGGAAAAGCGGCCCGGAAAATGGGTCGCCTTGAACATGATTTATCTGCGAGTGGGCCGAGCGAGAGAAGTACATTTGCCATAATGCGAAAACTTGAACTGGAATCGCAGTTGGCTGGTCAAACTTTTCCGCCATTGTGATCACACCTAAGATACGAAAATGACAAGTTGAGATTAGTCATTAGCCGGGAAAAGAGAACTATATTTCAGGATTTTTGTGCTAATTTTTAATTATTTTTCTTTAGAAAGATAAACTTTAATTTTTTCAGCTCCAAAGGTTTTTTCTTTAAGCACAATTCAATTAAGTTAACAAATACTTAAATGCTTGTGCATCAAAAAAAGTTTTGAATTGCCTTACAATTTCAAGTGGTTCTGGGATTTTTAACTGCAGTTTGGCTACTTCTTTGCCATTTCTGACTCTCTCCTCTCGACTCGCCCATTGTGGATTAAAAACTTTTTAATTGCCCATTGACTTTGATGTCGTTTTCTTTCGGCTTGGCTTTCCCTGGCATTGTCTTGGCCAAAGTTTCCTGCGTTAATTAAATTTCTGCCTGGGGCTATAATGGCATAAATGCCGATATGTCGCTCCCGCACTTCCTCAGTCTGTCTATCGATCTATTTCACCTCCTCAATCCACATCGCTTGCCAGTCTGTCAGCAGTTTTGCCGCATATTATTTGCCATTCGCTTTTTTTTTATTTTTTATTACGAGTATTTTTTATTGACAGACGCCCGTTGTGGAGGCTTCGACGTCATGAAATTTCACTTTGCGGTAGTTGGGAAAACTGAAGCTTCCACACATTGGCAGTTGGCTCGGTTTTTCGCATTTGTTCGAGGAAATTGAGATGTGGCAGGGGCACTGAAAGTCTGACAATGCAGTTTGTGAACTTTTCGCAACGCTCTCGAGATGAGTACTCGAATGTGGGTAGTTTCAGGAGGATTGGGAATATTTTCGTATTCCGCCCTTTAATTTGGGAACATTTACTCACTCATATTTGAAAGAGAGGCTAGATTGTTGGACTTAAACTATCCATATATCTATTTTAAAGAAATTCTGTTTAAATACGAAATTAAACTATAATTTTAATATTTTTCTAAACTTAATAATAATACTTAATTATAGATAATCATTTTGTTTAAGTTTATGGTGAGATTCTTCTACCAGAATCGCTTAATTTTTTACCACTTTATTTTGAGCCAATCCCCCAACGGAATATCCCTTTTTATGACCCACCTTTCCCCTCCCCAAAACCTCCTTATCAGGCTAAGCTTTATGGTAGTTCATAATACGCTTTATTCAGACGCTCGCATAAACCCCAAGCAGCTTATAAAACTTCCAACCTACATCAACTTTAAACAGCTTTCGGCTGAGTCGAACTCCATTCAGTTCGTGCCCCCTGCCACACTTTGGGTGTAGAAAAACCCCAATTGAGCAATCTTATCACTGACCATAAATACTAAACCACAACAAAAACATCAAGCTACGAACTACAAAACGGGGGGCGGGGAAAACGCCGCGCAACGCGCCCATTTATCACGCACTCGGAATTGACCCAAGTGACCGGGGGCGAGTCAGGGGACAGAACGGACTCCATGCATGCCAGTGTAATAACATTAAAAGCGTGATAGAGACCCCAAACAACCCCCCTCGAACTATTCCCCCCTACGCCCCGGCGATAAGACAAAGAAGCATAACTATAAAACATTAGACTGATCGCCTCGAGCGCCGAAAACTCGCGCCAAATCTCAGGGCAAATGCCAGATGACTCTATCTGAAGTGTATGAGTTTGAGATATGGGTAGTGGAGAACGGGGAGAATACCTATAAATATAAGTGGGGTAAAATATGCCAAGATGGGGAATGTTTTATGTTTGTTTGCTGCCTTTTAATTGATTTTTGTTAGAGAGCACTTGAAAATTCAGTCAATACAGAAGAGAAATTAAAAAAAAAATTGTATAGCATTTATTATTTATTTCTATAAAAGAGAGTTGCATAATTAACTATAATAAATTTAGTTATTTTTTTAATGTCCCTCGTCTCTTTTCTACCTCGACTTAGTTACCCCTTAAGTGACCCTCAGCTGCAAGCTGAGCAATCATCTAAATTGCTTAATGGGGGCAACGAAAATGTTGTTGATTGTCTCAACTAAAAAATTGGACATGGGCTTCAGGTTCATGCTCACAAGTAATTTAGTTCCTTATGTTGCAGATTTACCTTTAAGTGGCCATTTAACTAATAAAACTAATGTATTTCATTTCTTTTTCTTCTAGGTAAGTGAACCTTTCTATGCTATGTATTGTACTATAACTAAAGATTGGGTATGTAATACTAATAACCTTTAAATTTAATTGAGATACATTGAAAAACCATTTATTTCTATTATTCCGGTTTTCAACTGTTTTCGATATCAAAATGTCAGTGGTCGTCCCATATATATTTTCCATTAATTCCGTTTATTTTTCCCAAGCATCCATCATATTTATATAGCTGTCACCACTCGAGCATGAAATCAATTCTACGCCGCTATTTGCTAATAAACCATTTGGGACTTATGCCAATGGCTGCGTCCAAGAACAGTTAAACTAATGCCAAGTCGGTAATTTATGCTGTGCCCGGGCAGAAGTCAACCGGAATGTAGGGGAGTTCTAAAGCCAATAACCCGGCTTCATCTCGATTGGTGACAATCAATCATTTTTTTAGCTGTCGCCCCACTAGACTCGTTAAACAAACCACCCAGAAAAGTTTCTACAACTTTATTATGTCCCGGCCCTTGTGACTTGGACTCCATATGAAAGTGCAAAAGTGTGTGCAGACAGTTCAGTTCCGTTCCGTTTTCAGTGGCGCCGCGGATTCTCGCGCCAAAAATAAACGACATCGGTCGCAAAGAGGCTGCTTCCCCACCGGGCTGTCCTTCACTTTG